TGGGGAGTGAATCATCGGACGGAAGATCTTCCTCTCTGTCTCTCCTCTCTGTATATCCGCCTTTCCAATAAAAAAATAATAAAAATAAATCTTTAAAAAAAAAGTCTCTCTTCCTCTCCCATTGTCCACCCCATGTCATCTAATAAATAAGTAAAATTTTGTGAAAATTGAGGATCAGCAATGTGGCACAGAGGATTAAAGCACCGCTTGTGATACTGCCATTCCATATTGGAGCACAGGTTCGAGTCCCAGCTGTTCTGCTTCTGATGTAGCTCCCTGCAAAGGCACTGAAAGAAGGTTCAAGTACTTGGGCTCCCATCTGAGTGAGACTCAGATGAAGCTCCCACTCCTGGCTTCAGCTGGGGCCCTCGCAAGGTGCAGGGTGCAGGGAGGGCTTGGGGTGAGTCTGTGCCCCAAGGAGGTCGAAGTCTAACACAGCGAGTACAGGGGCTTCACAGGACAGAAACCTGGGTTAATGATGGAAATAAGCCTGAGCCTTGGAACTACAGAACTGAGAGGCAGTGGTTTGAGGGTCTGTGTCCCTGGGATCCAGCGCCAGGATCAGGACCACCTGGTCTTGGAGGAGGAGGAGGGGAAGGATGAGCAGGACGGCTGCGTGACTGCCCCTCCACACGCACCGGGCCCCTAGTAGCCCAGTGCCTGGATAAGGGACAGTTGCCAGGGCCAAGGTTCTCCGTCTCTGCACCTGTGGGTGGGCCGGGCGCCCTCTCCTGTCCTCACTGGTCAGACCTCCTCTGACAGCAACAGAACCCCAGACTCCTGCACCTGGCGCCCACCTTCCTACAGAGCCCAACTCTCCCAGCTCTCCCAGCCTCGCACCGACCGCACAGCCTGGGAGATGGCTCCACCTGCAGGCTGCGTGGCGCGCTGCGGGACAGCTTCTCCCTTGTTTCCTGTATTTAACATCCTAGATGTTAAATATGCGCCCTCCCGTCCCACCCCAACCCTTACTCTGACTCACGTTAATCCTTTAGTTCTGTAACCATAATCACGGAGGCTCAGTTTTCTCATCCGCAGAACTGGGACGACAGGAGAGCTCGTCTCATGGACTAGGTGGGAAACAAAATGCATTAGCACATGTGTACCGAACACACATACACACACACACACACACACACACACACACACACACACACACACACACACGAGTGTGTGTTGGGGCCCCAAAATAGTCTCTTGGAAGGAATGTTCCTGCCCACAGCCTTGGTCTTCAATCAACATCAGCCATTCGTGCACCACATGGCAGAAGGGGTCTTCAAGAGACCTCCGGTCGCTGAGTTCCTGGTTTAAGCCCTCACCAGTCCTAGCTGTTGCAGGCATTTGGAGAGTAAGGCAGCCCTTTTAAATAAATTAAAAATTAAAATAAGGGCTGGTGCCATGGCTCAACAGGCTAACACTCTGATTGTTCCAGGTCTCTCATGTCGTGCAGGGTCCCAAGGCTTTGAGCTGTCCTCAACTGCTTTCCCAGGCCACAAGCAGGGAACTGGATGGGAAGTGGAACTGCTGGGATTAGAACCAGCGCCCATGATTCCTGGCTCCGGATCAGCCACTTGGGGAGTGAATCAACAGACAGATCTTCCTCTGGGGCCCGGCACAATAGCGTAATGGTTAAGGTCCTTGCCTTGCATATGCCGGGATCCCATATGGACGCCGGTTCTATTCCCGGCAGCTCCACTTCCCATCCAGCTCCCTGCTTGTGGCCTGGGAAAGTAGTCGAGGATGGTCCAGGGCCTTGGGTCCCTGCACCCATGTGGGAGCCCTGGAAGAAGTTCCTGGCTCCTGGCTTCAAGATCGGCATAGCATCGACTGTTGCGCTCACTTGGGGAGTGAATTGTCAGATGGAAGATCTTCCTTTCTGTCTCTCCTCCTCTCTGTATATATCTGCCTTTCCAATAAAAATCAATAAATATTTGGAAAAAAAGGAAACTGGCAAAAGAGATTGAGAGAAAAGACTTGGTGGTGGAGCGCACCAGCCCTGGAGGGGGTCCCCCTGTGGGTGGTTGGGATCCCCGACTCTGGTGTGTGATCCTGAGCCTGCAGTTCTGTTCTAGGTCCTGCCAGATGGTTCTGGGCACTCTTACCAAGTTCTGGGTACTATTACCTAAGCTTGTTTAGCTCACACACCTCCCGGAGCTGGTCTCCTCCTTGCACCCCAGCGCTGAGTCATACTCAGGATTAGCACCTCCTATGAGAGACAGGGATATGAACCTGTCCCAAGTGCATGAGCAGGAAGCTGGATGGGAAGCAGCAGAGCTGAGATCTGAGCCAGGCCTTCTTGTGGGCTCAACAAGATGATGCAGATTGCAAGCCTGATTTTAGTAAATGCTCCCTGAATGTTCAGTGTTTTCTTAAAAATAAGATTGTCTTTTAAAGCGCAATCCATGGACCTTCCAACAAGGGGCCTCTGCTGAGCTGACACTTGCACTTGGGGCTATAGACTTCTGGAATAGGGAAGAAGTGTCATGTTTCTCACTCCGCTGGAGGTAGTTTGCAGCCCTAGGAGAGTAAGGCAATGTTGGTAGGATCTGTACTTACTGCTGGGTAACAGAGGCACTAGCCCGTCCACCAGTCCTAGGGAAGCACAGGGGCAGGGTTTGGAACCTGCCTGCTGCTCCTCACACCTTCCCTCTCTGCCCAGCCTCACCTGGAAGCAGCAGGTTTACCCCAGGGCATGTTGCTTTTCCAGGGGCAGCTGGCTTCAGGTGTTGGGCTTCCATTTGTCCTGAAAAGTGCCATTTTTGTCTCCCTTCTTCCCTCCTTGCCTTAATGTCTAGCCCTGCCCGATCTCTCCGTCTCTTCTCTTAGGCAGCTTTGTACTCCACCCTCAACAAGGTTCCTTGGTCTGGATTTTCCATCCACAGGGTGGCCGTTTGGCCCAGGAGTTAAGGCACCTCCTCAGAGGGCCTGGGTTCAAGTGCTCCTCCCACTACCCCTATTTCCAATTTCAGTTGTCTGCCCTGGAAAGCAGCAGGTGATGGCCCAAATACTTGGATCCCTTCTATGCACAAGACTGAGGCGGAGTTCCTGGCTTCCAGCTTCAGCCATGCCCAACTGCCTTTCAAATATATGAAAATAACCAAAAAATGAAGGGGACAGGCATTGTGATACAGAAGGTGAGACAGCTACTTACGACTCACATCCCATCCCACGGTGCCTGGGACCCACTGCCTGCTGCTCTGCTTCCCATTCAGCTTCCTGTTGATGCATCTGAGGCAGCAGATAATGGCCCAAGGGAGGGAGGGCTGAAACCCATGTGGAAGCTCCTGGCTTTGGTGGGCATTTGGGGAATGAACCAGCAGATGCAAGATTCTTTCTCATTAGTACTCTGCCTCTCATGTAGATAAACAAACATAAAAAAAAAAAGAAAAAGAAGTCCCCTTGCCACTGCATGTAGAAGGTCGGCTTCAAGTTCAAGCTCAAATCCCTCTCCTCCTGGCCCACAGTTCCCCACAGCTTCACGTCCCTGTGTACTGTTCCAGGATATGGATGAGCCTGTACCTCATCCCCCAATCCAGGGTTCCTCTCTTGGGCCTGGAATGTAACCACTAGCTTGGGGACAGTGCCCTGAGCCGTATCTGTGCTCAGTCAACACTTGTTGAGTTTTGAACGACCACCTGCCCTGCTTCCGCCTGGGTATCATGACTTCATCTTCAACAAGGCCCTGTCTGGCACAAGGTTCCCATCTAGAAGCAGGCAGGAGTGGGCATTTAGCCCAGCAGCTTGCATCCCATTTTGGAGTGCCTGGGTTGAATTACCTGTTCCTAACTCCCACTTTCCAACAATGCAGACCCCAGCTCTGTCATTAGGTCCCAGTTCTTGGTGTGACAGCCAAGGGAAGAGGAGGGTTACTACAGGGCATGCGCAGCCTGATAAAGGGAACCCAGGTCGGCCACCCGCCTCGGGGGCACTCAGGCAGCATGGTAATGTCTACTGGCAAACTCAGGTCCCTCATACTCTTAAGATTTGACGATGGGCAAGGCACATGAGGCTCTGCATGCAGAATTCAGGATGGGCTGGTAGAGGACGGCTCTGAAAGGAGAGCATCCTTGGTGTTCATGGGACTCCTGAGTGAGCACAAACTACAGCGAAACAGAGTAAGAGGGCTTGAGCCCGAGTCCCCAGGGGAGTCTTCCAAGTGTCCCACCTTCTGTGAACCCCTGTACTTCCTCCCCATGGGCCTCCTGATTTCTAACAGACACAACTCCTGCTGGCACTGCCCAGGGAACTGGTAGAGGAGGGAAGGGCCTGCCTGGAGCTGCCTGAGAACCATTCACCCTGAACTGGCCCAAGCAGGCAGGGGCCCCTAGAAGCTGTGAGGATTCCGACCGCAGGTGCCCATCCTGCTCCGGATTTCCGTGTTTCCAGACTCCATTGGACCCCATGCTGGCCTGGGGGTAGAGGGCAGTGCCCAAGCAAATGATTGACTGAACACAATGACCAAGTATGAAAATTAATTGAGATATTTAATAGACAGTGCAAACCATAATTTCATCTGAATATAAATGTATGCACATGTTTCCAATGAGTTATCTATCAGTTATCACAAACAGCAACGCGGAACATAGAGCTAGGTTAGAAAACTGCAGAGCTGGAATTGAATGCAAACAATCTCACTTGCTCTCAAGACAGACGATACCATCCATTTCAAACCAAGTGTCACAAACTTTGAAAGACCAGGGGTGAGGGAGCGAGGAGTGGGCCAGAGCGGTAAACACAGGGGTGGGGACAGTACGTAGTTCCCAGTACATAGGGGACAGACGAGATACAGCTCTTGAGTCAGATGTGTCAGCACAGTGAAGGACAAAGACAAGCCTGCGGCTTTTAGAAAACGACCCTTCTGCCAGTACCTACAAAGATGCGCGATGCTCACCTGACTTCGGAGGACAGAGGCTACATTTACAGCTCACTCCAACTGCAAACCCACAGCCCTTTCTGTGCAGCAGCCAGCAGCGGAGTTAGCGTAGTCCAGAAGCTCAATGTTGGATTTGCAAATACAGTTTATTTTACAGAAATTGAACATTATAAACAGCAGGCACCTCCCACCCGCCCGCCCCCCTCCCTTGCCCGTCCCGTGGGGTGCAGGCCATGCGATGTGAGGGTGAGCAGCGATGCAGCCCTACTGCTTTGGAGTGAGATTCAAGAATGGTGGAGCTGGCCTGCACCACGCCGTGCCTGCCCCCACACGCACACGCCTGCCCGCTGCACAGGCCATCAGAGTCTGTCTGGGCCCAGCTGAGCTGGCCCAGTTACATGGATCCGGCCCAGTTTTCCAATTCCTTCATGTCGTCGTCCTCCTCTTCCTTCTTCTTGGCTGTATGATGAGAGAAAAACCATTTAGAGGGCTGCACGTGGTGCTTCCAACACGTCTCGGCTGGACACCTGGGCTGGGCCACACTGTGTCTGCCTTTCGGGGTCTGCAGGCCCAGACATAGGACCCCAATGCTTTCCCTACACCCAGCAGAGGAGGGCCAAACAGGGTGTCCTCAAGGCCTTAGTTTAGTGCACCCCGAGTGGTGGCACCTGAGGAGAGCTAAACCTTGCCAGCCCCAGCTACTCAGCAGCCTGACCAGCCCTCCGCATGGTGGGCGGCTGCCTGGTCTGAGTGCTGGATGCTGCCTTCACACATGGGGCAATGCCTCTTTACCCACGGGCAGGGGAGGTGACCACGCTCTCCGGGCCACGTCACACTGCTGTTTCTAGGGTCCTTCTATCCGGGGTGACAGGTTGTGGGAAGGAGGATAGAAGGACCAGGAGGAGGAGGTAAAAGTCATGCAGGGGTCTATAAAAAGCCAGAGCTGCACCCTTCCCACGCAGGATTCATCCAGGTACCACATGAGTACCACCAGGCACGGGGGCATCTTGGACTGGAACGCTCACACCTTGTAAAGCGCTGTGGCACCCAAAGCTCCCCCTTGTTTGGTAACTCAGAGTTTTGGAAAAAGCCCAGTCTCGAATAGAGGCCCTCAACTGCCTATGACCCCTGCCAGGGACATATACAAATATCTGGAGACAATTTTGGCTGTCATAACTCATGGGAGACTGGTTGCTTCTGGCATCTAATGGGAGGGATGCCAGGGTGCTGGTAAACAACGTAATATGAAGAACAGCCAGCCCACTAAAGAAATATCTGGTCACGTCCAAGGACAAAGATTAAGAAATCCTGTTACTGGCGTAAGTGTTGTGGTACAGTGGGTTAAACTGCCACCTGTAACACCAGGATCCCATATGAACACCAATTCAAACCCTGTCTATTCCAATTCTAATCCAGCTCCCTGCTAATGTGCCTGGGAAAGCTGTGGAACATGGCCTAAGTGCTTGGGCCCTTGCACCCATGTGAGAAACCTGAATAAGACTCCCGGCTCCTGGCTTTGGTCTGGCCCAGCTCCAGCTGCACGGGCCACTTGGGGCATGAACCAGCAGATAGGAGATCTCCTCGCCACAACTCTCACAAAGATTATTTATTTATTTTTAAAGAAAGAAACGCTGTTCCAGAGCGAAATCAAGAAAGGGCTGATGATGTCACCTCTTGGCCATCACACATCCTGCCTGGCTCTCGACCTGTGGCAAACTCTGGACCCAAATGGAAGCGAACCACCCACCAGGTCACCCACCTTCCACGGTGCGACTATGCCCAGACTCCAGGTAAGCGGTACTTACTGGGTTTTGATGGTAGGGCTATAGAAGGAACGTTTGGTAGAGGGACTGTTTCGGGTCCACTGATTTCCAGCAAATTCTTGTCTAGCTCCTCCTGTTCTAGCTCTTCTAATTCAGCCATGAGTTCATCCTGGTAAAGGGAATGCAGAAGTGAGCACTACCTGTGGCAGGTCCCTGACCTGAGGCTCGGTGGCCTCTGAGGAGGCCAGAGGGCAAGGAATGCCAGGTTCCACTCAGAGACTCAAATGTCCCCGACAAGCTGCTTCTGGTGGACAGGAGATCCTGTTGCGGGGCCACTGCTGTCCACATCCAGGGCCTCACACTAGACAACAGGCACCTTGGAAAGGGCGGGGGATCTTCTCCTCCCCACAGCTTCTTCTCACAGCTGGAGACAGTGAGTGAATATTCACGAATATTTGCTGGACTGAAACTACCTTGATGACTCCCTCAATCTCTAGTTGAAAACACGGAAACTGGTGCTGGGTGACAGCTGCAGGCTGTTTCCTCGGCTGTCCAATGGGAGGCAGCAGGAACAAGCTCAGTCAAGAGAACTCGACCTTTAGGTGGACAAATCTAAGATGGGGGAGGAAGGGGAGCTGGCACAGTGGTACAGTGTGTTAAGCTGCTGCCTGCAATGCTAGCATCTCATATGGGTATCGGTTTGAGTCCTAGCTAATCTTCCTGCCATCCAGCTCCTTGTTACTGCCCCTGGGAAAGCAACAGAAATGGCTTACGTGCCAATTGCACTGGGAAACCCAGATGGAGTTCCAGGTTCTTGGCTTCAGCCTGGCCCAGCCCATCATTGTGGCCATTTGGGGAATGAATGAGTAGCTGATAGACCTGTCTCTTTCTTCTTTCTTCTGTCTCTTAACTCTGTCATTCAAATAATTATATAAATGTTAAACAAAAAGAAAAGAAAAACCAGGGCCACTACTATATTTAAAAGCCCAAAAGACAGATGATCCCAAACCGCTACAGCAGAAATGGCAAGCAGCCACGGCAGGTCAGAAGCAAATGCCACCTCCCTGGTTTCACTTTGACGACGTGACAGGGCTACTTGAGGGCAAATCCTACAAGCCCCTCCAGGGCTCACCCCTTCTGCTGCTCAGACTCTGGACCCACCATGGCAAAGTGTGGGCTGACCACTTGCTGGGACCAAGCCGTGATCTGGGGCCTGCTGAAGGGTCCTGATGGAGGGCTCCCTTCCATCCACAGGTCACAGCACACCCTGCTGACATCCAAGCCACAACTCACGCCTGAAAGTTTTCCTCAACACATGAAGGGGCAGGAGGGTGTCAGCTGTCAGGTTTACGTGATGTGTACCGAGCCACTGACCTCGTCAAATTCTTCTCCGAAGCCTACAGGTTTAGAGATAGCTGTGGAAATCTCCTCTGCAAGCTCCTGCTGGTCAGCAATGTCCTGCATCAACTCATCGACTTTATCGATGTCCCTGTAAATGAGACAGACACACTGTCATATGGGTGGAAGGATCTGGGCAGAGAGCGTTTTCAAGGCAGGCCTTGCCACCCCGCCCCTGTCATTACTCCCTGTGAGAATTACTCGTCACTCTTGCCTTCCTCATTTCTTTCAAATAAAGGGTCAGAGAACCAAGGGGAAGGAAGTGTTAGCTCAGTAGTTAGCACAGCCACGGCCCACATGCAAATCAGTTCCTGTGGCAGATGAGACCACAGGATTTTTAACTCCACGAACAACCACTCTTCTTGAAGTCCAAGAGCAACAGTCTACAGGGGGAAGTAGAATTACCGATGATGAAAAAAAACACTCACAAGCCTTTCCCACCTGCTCCTCCACTAAGTGCCCAAGGGAGGGCAAACACAGAATTCTTATAAACTCGGACTGGGCCAGCACTGTGGTGCAGTATGCTAAGCTGCCACCTGTAACACCAGCATCCAATAGGAGCAAGTGCTGGTTCAAGTTCCGGATGTTCCATTTCTGATCTGGTGCCCTGCTAACATGCCCGGGAAAGCAGAAGGTAGCCCAAATGTTTGTGTTCCTGTCACCCATGTAGCAGTCCCAGGCTCCTGGCTTCGACCTGGCCCAGCCACCAGCTTGTTGCAATCATTTCGGGAGGGAAGCAGTGGATGGAAGACCTCTCTCCCTGCCTCTTCCTGTCACTCTGCTTTTTAAATAAGTAAAATAAATCTGTCAGTCAGACCGACAGACACATGCATTTCATTCAAAGCACACCCAGTACTGGCAGACAGCGCCCTCTACAGGGCAGCACAGACCCTACAACACCCTGCTCAGCCAGCACCTTCTCCTTGCCACCTCTCTGCTAGAGCAGAAGCAGCAAGCTTTCTCCACTGGGCAAAGTAAACACTTAAAACTTGTGGACCACAGTCCCTGTCGCAAATACTCAACCCTGCTGCACAACACAAAAACAGCCACAGACAGCATGAGCATTAGTGTGTTTCAAAAAAAACTCTATTTACACAAACACGCAGCAAGCCCACAGGTTGCATTTTGTCACCTCTTGTTTCAGAGCTGAGTATCCAAAAGGAACCACAGGGCTCCCAACATGGCAAGTGTAAGCACTATAACAAACGCAGAATTTCTTCCCCAGGAGAGCCTACCCTGGCCTCTAGTCCAACTTCAGCAAGCTTGATGCCTGTGAGAGTCAGTGGCCACAAGCAGGAGGAAGCAGACAGCCCCATTAAAGCAGGTATCAGAGCAGAGACCGGGAGCCCTAGGCTAACAGAAATACTTCACGGCCCCTGACAGCGTTTGGTGAAAGTCACTAACACTGAGCTTCACCCACAGGTTCCCTCGCAACCCAGGAAGTCAACTGCCTTTTCCACAACCCAGGTTTTCCACCAGAATATGCAGAGGGCCTGAGTGAGAGGACACCTGAGGCCCTTTCCAGCTTAAAAGCAGGCTCGCCACAAGGCCCAGGATTATGCAAGGTCTCCATTTCATAAGATCTGCTCCCGAAGGCAGAGGTTTACATCATCCACTTTACAAAGAGTTCCAAAAACACACTGAAACAAACTCAAGTATCTGAACAAGGAGGCCAAGGAGTGTGTCCACAGCCATGGCCTGCGCACCAGGCAGCCCCTGGCCAGCACTGCCCTGCTGAGTGGGGAAACCCTCCCAGCAGCATGAACACGCACATGTTGTCGTGGGCAGCCTTCATGGCCTTGGCGGCGTAGCCCATGTTCTTGAGCACCTCGGTGTTGGTGTTGGCGTTCTCCAGGGCCTCCCGCTGGAACTCGATGGTGGACAGCGTGCCGTCGATCTGTGCCAGCTGCTTCTCATACCTCTTCTTGCGCTTCAGCGCCTGGAGGGCGGCTGCAGGAGGAGAACACAGACTCTCAGCCGGCCAGGCCCCTCAGGGCCACGGCTCACCAAAGTCCTCCCTGACCCGCACAGGGGGTGTGACTCAGCTTTAATAATCTCTTCTACGTAAGCAGCACATTCAGTTTTCTAAGAAAATACCCCAAGCTCACATGCCTCAAAACACAGCCAGGAAACAAGCACGGGGGCAAAAGGTAACCAAAGTGTGGACGAGTGCCCCGAGACAGAACCTACTGAGCAAAAGCTGCCTTAGGTCCCAAGCCCAGGTCAGACCCCAGTGAGTCACTGAGCTGCCCTGACAGCTCCTGCAAGGGGTAAGTGGGTAACGTGGGCAAACGCCCAGCCCCTAAACATAGTAGACACCCTCAGAGCAAGGGAGCTCTAGCTATTACAAAGCAACTCTTCAGTCCATTTCATGATAACTAAATCACAAAACAGTAATGAACTGCCATACCAAACACTAGATCAATTTGGATTAAAACTCCCTCAAGCACTGTGGGAGGCAGCAAATGATGGCTCAAGTGTTGGATCCCTGCCATCCAAGTGGGAGACCTGGATGGAATTCCTGGCTCCCGTTTTTCAACTGCCTGGCAGTGATGGGCATGTGGGGAGGGAATCAGTGAATGGGAAATCTCTATCACTCTGCTTTTCAAGTAAGAAAAACTTAAAACAGTTCGCTCTTACAAAGCCAACAATGCAGTAAGTGGTGACAAGGCTTTCAGAAAGTAAAAACACAACACACAGTAACAACCTAATGATGTTCCCATATTCAAGAAAAGCGAAAAGTCCCATGCTGAAAGAGCACTGCATAGCTCAGAGAACAGCTAGACAGAACTCCCTACCACGGGCAAACCCAGAGTGGGAAGCCTGTCTTAGCAGCCAGCAGGTTAAGGAGATCATCTCCTTTTTTGTTGTTGTTATTTTAGGAGGTTTATTCCAGCAGGGTAGGAACAGGATGGGGTGGTGGGGAGGTGAAGAGGTAGGAGGAGGCCAGAAGAGGAGAGGGAGAGAGAGAGAGAGAGAGAGAGAGCCGCACCTGGAAACCTTTTTGTCACTCAGGTGGCAAGGAGATCATCTTGTTCTGAAATAACAGGCTTGACGTGAGGGGTTCCATGATGAGCTGGGCTCCATCTTAAGTGGGTGCCCCTCTACCCGTGACACTAACCTGGTGGAGAAAACAGCATCCTGCTTGGCAGAATGCTTGAACCCCTGGCTAGGCTGTTAAAGCAAGACCAGGAGAAAAATGAATTTTGCCTGAGACACCAACACAGGCTTCAAAGTTATTAACTGTTTTATCCTAAGGTAGTTTCGCATTAGCTCAGTCCCCCTCATCCCCATCCAGTCTGTGTTTTTGCCTCTATGACTCTGCTGTGCTGTAGCGCAGGTTTAGAGATCTCGGCCATGAGCTCCCTCTGCACATCTGCAAAAAAGGACTTCCAAATCTTTTTTTTTTAATTTTTTTTAAAGATTTATTTTTATTATTTTTTTATTGGAAAGGCGGATATACAGAGAGGAGAGACAGAGAGGAAGATCTTCCGTCCGATGATTCACTCCCCAAGTGAGCCGCAACGGGCCGATACTATGCCGATCCAAAGCCAGGAGCCTCTTCCGGGTCTCCCACGCGGGTGCAGGTTCCCAAAGCTTCGGGGCCGTCCTCGACTGCTTTCCCGGGCCACAGGCAGGGAGCTGGAAGGGAAGCGGGGCTGCCGGGATTAGAACCGGCGCCCATATGGGATCCCGGGTGTGCAAGACGAGGACCTTTAACCACTTGCGCCACCGCGCCGGGCCCAGGACTTCCAAATCTTAATCAATGCATGACTCTACTCTGTTTTGGCTTGCTTGGGTACAATAGTTCTAAGGCCCAGTCAAGATAAGTCATTCGGGCCCAGTGCAATGGCGCAGTGGTTAAAGTCCTCGCCTTGCATGCCCAGGATCCCATATGGACGACGGTTCTATCCCGGCGGCCCCGCTTCCCTTCCAGCTCCCTGCCTGTGGCCCGGGAAAGCAGTCGAGGACGGCCCAAAGCTTTGGGACCCTGCACCCGCGTGGGAGACCCAGAAGAGGCTCCTGGCTTCGGACCGGCATAGCATCGGCCGTTGTGCTCACTTAGGGAGTGAATCATCGGACGGAGGATCTTCCTCTCTGTCTCTCCTCTCTGTATATCCGCCTTTCCAATAAAAAAATTAAAAACAAAAATGTCAAGTTTTTATTAAAAAAAAAAATAGGACTTGCTCCAGCCCAACTCTGTTTCTGACTTCAGAAATTTGCTTTGATGTATAACCAAAGTCCAAAGGACCAAGCCCAATGTTTGCATAAACACACACTGAGCCTTATGTCCTGCCTTAACTTTGCATACGTGATGACTTGGCTAAAAAGCAAGGGATGGCCAGCGTGGTGGTGCATCAAGCTAATCCTCCGCCTTGCAGTGCCAACATACCAAAGGGACACTAGTTCATGTCCCAACTGTTCCACTTCTGCCCCAGCTCTGCCTATGGCCAAGGAAAGCAGCAGAGAATGGCCCAAGTCCTTGGGATCCAGTATCCATGTGAAGAACTAAAAGAAACTTCAGGCTCCTGGCTTTGGATCGGTTCAGTTCCAGCCATTGCGGCCACCTTGGAGTGAACCAGTGGATGGAAGATCTTTCAGTCTCTCTGTAACTATGATTTCCAAGTAAATTAAACAAATCTTTAAAACAAGTTAAGCTTGTCACGCCAGCATCCTATATGAGCATGCCATTTCTCACTGAGCTCCCTGCTAATGCAGCTGGCAAGCAGGAAATGATCCAGGTGCTTAGACACCTGCCACCCCTGAGGGAGACCCAGATGGAGTCAGACTCCTTGCTTCAGCCTGGCCAGTCTCAGCAGATGTGCGGCTACGCAAGAAGTGAACCAACAAACAGCTCTCCTCTCTGTAACTCTGCCCCTAGGAAGAATAAATTTTTTAAAAAGATTTATTTATTTTTATTGCAAAGTGAGATATACAGACAGGAGGAGACACAAAGAGGAAGATCCTCCATCTGATGATTCATCCCCAAGCAGCCTCAACAGCCAGAGCTGAGCCTATCCAAAGCCAGGAGTCAGAAGATTCTTCCAGGTCTCCCACGCGGGTGCAGGGTCCCAAGGCTTTAAGCTGTCCTTGACTGCTTTCCCAGGCCACAAGCAGGGAGCAGGATGGGAAGCAGGGCCACCAGGACACAAACCAGCACCTATATGGGATTCCAGTGCATGCAAGGAGACAACTTTCACTGCTAGGCTACCACACTGGGCCCAAAATGAATAAATAAATTTTTAAGACAGCAACAAAGTACCAGGTTAACAAGGAGCTGCTCATCTGAACCAAATATTCGATCAGGAACCTAAAACACTCTACTGATGATGAACACCCCCAGTTTCATTCACAAACAGAACGGTTTTAATAATTAAAATCTAACTGAAGCCAACAGAAGTTTAAGAGGTTGTTTTCAGATAGGGAAAAAAATAGTTCTTGAAATCTCCATATTTAATTATGCCTTTGCTGGTTCCAAGAGAGTAATTACAGCGGCAATTACAGAATCTAATAACCAGCTTTATTGGCCCTGAAAGCTGAGGCAAAAACAACTCCAATCACGTTGAAATAAACATTGGTCTCCAGACAGTTGCTTCATTAGATTCTCCCAACAGCTTTTTTTGGAGGGGAGATACACAAGATACACCCTAAAAAAGTAGAGGGGTGTTCACCTTTTTGCCCAGCACTGTTAGTGATCATACAGAGCCATCTTCAGAGAATGCAACAGTTCAAGGCAGTTAGGCAGGGCGCTCCCCGTTCCCAGGCACAGCAAGTCCAACTGCTATTTGAAGAGCTGTTAAGGAGGGTAACTCTGCCTGCCCAGACAGACTTGGGGGTAGGGAGACAGAGCCTGGGCCATACCGACAGAGGCCAAGGAGTCCTAAGGGTACTCCTTACTAGCAGCGAGATTCTGGCACACATGGAGGGAAGAAGGACCCAGAAACACACCCCGACTGAATGAACCAATGACAGAGCCCACCATCCTTCCTGACAGTGCACCTCTAGCGGAAGTCGCTGTGGGGAGACGTAGGACTGGTAACCTTTTCTCTCTCAGCATGGCAGCAAACCTCACACATGCTAGAGGACGATTCCACACAGGCACACCCTGGCATTTCCTGACCACACACAGCAGGCCACTGACAGGCAGTCAAGGGAAGCCCACGCAGCCCCGCTCCACTCATGTCAAAATCACATGGTCCTCCTTGCTCATTCTGGTGTAAATAAGCCTCAGCTGTCGAGTCACCCGCAGCCAGGGGAACTGTATGTGGCCTCCCAGCTCTCCTAGGCATGTCTGTTCTGTGTCCATGAGAAAGGAGAGGCCCAAAGTCAGAAGAGCAAAGATAACCCACCCACCGACAGGAATGAGTCTCTGTAACTGTCCTCACTCTACAGAGCAAGCAATAGTCACAGTCGGGCATCAAGAGCTCAGGGGGCTCAACAGGACACCTGGATACACTGAAGGCTCCCCCCGTCTGCCCCAACTAAGGAGGGCGATGCTCATTACAGGTGGTACAACCCGTCGGGACCCTGACAAGCAGGGGAACACTCAGGACTAGCATCCTGGTCTCCAGCCCCTGGCTCCCACCAGCACCTCAACTCTGTAACCTCTGAATGAAATTGCTATAAATAAACCAACAGTAGCTCCTGCCTTAAGGAAAACGTCTGCCAAATGCTCTTTCATTTATTTACCCTTGGCAAACACCATCTGAAGGCTCATGCTGACATAGGAAAGAAAAGGAAAGTTACCTGCTTTACTGCTTTAAGTCCCAAGTCAGAAGGAAAAAAAAAAAAAAGAACGGGAAAGGGATGGCTACTCTGCTTGGTTTGTGAATTGTTCCAGAGGGTAGGCGCTCATCCCTCTACCCTCACAGCTGTGCAGGGACAGAGCAGGCTGGCAGGACCGACCACAGTGTTCCTTGGCAGCCACACGGGGACCGTGTGCTCAGCGC